ATCATCAATAAACTGACTTATTGTACTGTTTGACAGCAGAACCTTTTCAATTTCCTATACTGTACCTGGTCCTAGCATTTTCCCACTATTATTTTACATGCTGGCATGATTACTTTCTCACCCAAAGCATAACTTTTACTGCTTCTTGGGCTTTTTTATTGACTGTCATTTTATTAATAAAGCTTTAGTCTGTTTGTTCTGTGATTCCAATAGCCATTTAAAATAATCAGAACTTTTACTTGTCATATGGCTGTGATTTGTAGTTAAGTGCCTTTTAATTTTGCTGGAGCCATTGCTGCAGTAAAATAATCAGAACTTTTACTTGTCATATGGCTGTGATTTGTAGTTAAGTGCCTTTTAATTTTGCTGGAGCCATTGCTGCAGTTATAAGTTGTTTGCCACAAATGAGGCACAATGGAATAGGACAGGTTGGACCACCAGATCATGTAAAACCCATTGATAAATAACTTTCATTGTAAAGACAGACTCATATGTTTATCTTCCAATCTACAAAACTTTCCCCCGGGAGAATTTCTTAATTTCAAAATCTTTATATATTTTTTTATAAATTTTAAAAAATCCACAAGAAATATTCTTCAAGTCCATCTGGCCCCTTAACTTTCCAAAATCAACATTCTAGTCCCCCTTTTGTTGTTTTTCCAAAGTTTTTTTTTCTTTTTAATCCTTAAACTTACATGAAACGTCTTTCATTAAGGATAGAAGAAAACTCTCCTGGCATAATGAAACTTGCCCTTCTGAAGGTTCTTAACATCCCAAAAATCAATAACAGGCAATTTCCTAAGGTGATTAAGAGAAGTAGTGGGCAAACCCAGTGCCCTTTTGAAGGCAATGAACCACAGCTTAGGCAAGATGATTTCCCCCGGCTCCCAGAGCTCTCAAATCCACCAGAGATGGCTATTCACTGGCTCCTCTTTCCACCGCAACTGTCGGAAGTTTGAGTTAGTCTGGCAAGATTGATGTCAGGTTCAGCCCAAGAAACTCCATGAGACGGTTCTGGAATTGCTTAGTTACTTTATTAGCTTACACCTGCTAGACAAAATCTTACCAGGCTAACTCTAACTCCCAAAGTCTGCAACTAAACACTACGAATTCCTTAGGGTGGTGCCAGTC